GATCAATGAACCGTCTCCCCGCCCCCCCATCTCCGATCAATGAACCGTCTCCCCGCCCCCATCTCTCAATGAACCTTCACGATCAATGAACCGTTCCCCCCCGCCCACATCTCCGATCAATGAACCGTCTCCCCGCCCCCATCTCCGATCAATGAACCTTCTCCCCGCCCCCCCATCTCCGATCAATGAACCGTCTCCCCGCCCCCTCCGATCAATAACCTTCTCCCCGCCCCATCTCCGATCAATGAACCGTCTCCCCGCCCCCATCTACGATCAATGAACCGTCTCCCCGCCCCCATCTCCGATCAATGAACCGTCTCCCCGCCCCCATCTCCGATCAATGAACCGTCTCCCCGCCCCCCCATCTCCGATCAATGAACCTCTCCCCGCCCCATCTCTACGATCAATGAACCGTCTCCCCGCCCCCTCCGATCAATGAACCGTCTCCCCGCCCCCATCTCCGATCAATGAACCGTCTCCCCCCCCCCCATCTCTCCGATCAATGAACCGTCTCTCCCCGCCCCCATCTCCGATCAATGAACCTTCTCCCCGCCCCCCCCCCATCTCGATCAATGAACCGTCTCCCCGCCCCCATCTCCGATCAATGAACCGTCTCCCCCGCCCCCCTCATCTCCGATCAATGAACCGTTCTCCCCGCCCACATCTCCGATCAATGAACCGTCTCCCCGCCCCCATCTCCGATCAATGAACCGTCTCCCCGCCCACATCTCCGATCAATGAACCGTCTCCCCCCCCCCATCTCCGATCAATGAACCGTCTCCCCCCCCCCCATCTCCGATCAATGAAACCTTCTCCCCGCCCCATCTCCGATCAATGAACCGTCTCCCCCGCCCCCCCATCTACGATCAATGAACCGTCTCCCCCCGCCCCCCCATCTCTGATCAATGAACCGTCTCCCCGCCCGCCCCCATCTCCGATCAATGAACCGTCTCCCCGCCCCCATCTCCGATCAATGAACCGTCTCCCCGCCCCATCTCCGATCAATGAACCGTCTCCCCGCCCCCATCTCCGATCAATGAACCGTCTCCCCGCCCCCCCATCTCCGATCAATGAACCTCTCCCCGCCCCCATCTCCGATCAATGAACCGTCTCCCCGCCCCCATCTCCGATCAATGAACCGTCTCCCCGCCCCCCCATCTCCGATCAATGAACCGTTCTCCCCGCCCCCATCTCCGATCAATGAACCGTCTCCCCCCCCCATCTCCGATCAATGAACCGTCTCCCCCCCCCCCATCTCCCATCAATGAACCTCTCCCCGCCCCCCTTTCTCCGATCAATGAACCTTCTCCCCGCCCCCATCTCCGATCAATGAACCGTCTCCCCGCCCCCCCATCTCCGATCAATGAACCGTCTCCCCGCCCCCATCTCCGATCAATGAACCTCCCCCCCCCCCATCTCCGATCAATGAACCGTCTCCCCGCCCCCATCTCCGATCAATGAACCTTCTCCCCGCCCCCATCTACGATCAATGAACCTTCTCCCCGCCCCCATCTCCGATCAATGAACCGTCTCCCCACCCCCCCATCTCCGATCAATGAACCTTCTCCCCGCCCCCATCTCCGATCAATGAACCGTCTCCCCGCCCCCCATCTCCGATCAATGAACCGTCCCCCCCGCCCCCATCTCCGATCAATGAACCGTCTCCCCGCCCCCCCATCCCATCTCCGATCAATGAACCTCTCTCCCCCCCCCCATCTCCGATCAATGAACCGTCTCCCCGCCCCCCCCATCTCCGATCAATGAACCGTCTCCCCCCCCCCATCTCCGATCAATGAACCGTCTCCCCGCCCCCATCTACGATCAATGAACCGTCTCCCCCCTCCGATCAATGAACCCGTCTCCCCCCCCCCCATCTCCGATCAATGAACCTTCTCCCCGCCCCCCCCCATCTACGATCAATGAACCGTCTCCCCCCCCCCCATCTACGATCAATGAACCGTCTCCCCGCCCCCCCCATCTCCGATCAATGAACCTTCTCCCCGCCCCCATCTCCGATCAATGAACCTTCTCCCCGCCCACATCTCCGATCAATGAACCGTCTCCCCGCCCCCCCCATCTCCGATCAATGAACCGTCTCCCCCCCCCCCCCATCTCCGATCAATGAACCTTCTCCCCCCCCCCCCGTCTCCGATCAATGAACCGTCCCCCCGCCCCCATCTCCGATCAATGAACCGTCTCCCCGCCCCCCATCTCCGATCAATGAACCGTCTCCCCGCCCCCATCTCCGATCAATGAACCGTCTCCCCGCCCCCCCCCTCCATCTCCGATCAATGAACCTTCTCTCCCCGCCCCCCCATCTCCGATCAATGAACCGTCTCCCCGCCCCCATCTCCGATCAATGAACCGTCTCCCCGCCCCCCCATCTCCGATCAATGAACCGTCTCCCCCCCCCATCTCCGATCAATGAACCGTCTCCCCCCCCCCCCATCTCCAATCAATGAACCGTCTCCCCGCCCCCCCATCTCCAATCAATGAACCGTCTCCCCCCCCCCCCATCTCCGATCAATGAACCGTCTCCCCGCCCCCCCATCTCCGATCAATGAACCGTCTCCCCGCCCCCATCTCCGATCAATGAACCGTCTCCCCGCCCCCCCATCTCCGATCAATGAACCTTCTCCCCGCCCCCCCCCATCTCCAATCAATGAACCGTCTCCCCCCGCCCCCCCATCTCTCCGATCAATGAACCTTCTCCCCGCCCCCCCATCTCCGATCAATGAACCGTCTCCCCGCCCATCATCTCCGATCAATGAACCTTCTCCCCGCCCCCATCTCCCGATCAATGAACCGTCTCCCCGCCCCCCATCTCCGATCAATGAACCGTCTCTCCCGCCCCCCCCCATCTCCGATCAATGAACCGTCTCCCCGCCCCCCCATCTCCGATCAATGAACCGTCTCCCCCGCCCCCATCTCGATCAATGAACCGTCTCCCCCCCCCCATCTCCGATCAATGAACCGTCTCCCCGCCCCCCCTCTCCGATCAATGAACCGTCTCCCCCCCCCCACCATCTCCCATCAATGAACCGTCTCCCCGCCCCCCCATCTCCGATCAATGAACCGTCTCCCCGCCCCCCCCCATCTCCGATCAATGAACCGTCTCCCCGCCCCCCCCCTCTCCGATCAATGAACCGTCTCCCCGCCCCCCATCTCCGATCAATGAACCGTCTCCCCGCCCCCCATCTCCGATCAATGAACTGTCTCCCCGCCCCCCCCATCTCCGATCAATGAACCGTCTCCCCGCCCCCCCATCTCCGATCAATTAACCTTCTCCCCGCCCCCCCATCTCCAATCAATGAACCGTCTCCCCCGCCCCCCCATCTCCATCAATGAACCGTCTCTCCCCGCCCCCCATCTCCGATCAATGAACCGTCTCTCCCGCCCCCCCATCTCCGATCAATGAACCGTCTCCCCCGCCCCCCCATCTCCGATCAATGAACCGTCTCCCCGCCCCCCCATCTCCGATCAATTAACCTTCTCCCCGCCCCCCCATCTCCGATCAATGAACCGTCTCCCCGCCCCCCCATCTCCGATCAATGAACCGTCTCCCCGCCCCCCCATCTCCGATCAATTAACCGTCTCCCCGCCCCCCCCATCTCCAATCAATGAACCGTCTCCCCGCCCCCCCATCTCCGATCAATGAACCGTCTCCCCGCCCCCCCATCTCCGATCAATGAACCGTCTCCCCGCCCCCATCTCCATCAATGAACCGTCTCCCCCCCCCGCCCCCCCATCTCCGATCAATGAACCGTCTCCCCCCCCCCCCCATCTCCGATCAATGAACCGTCTCCCCCGCCCCCCCCATCTACGATCAATGAACCGTCTCCCCGCCCCCCCCCATCTCCGATCAATGAACCGTCTCCCCGCCCCCATCTACGATCAATGAACCGTCTCCCCGCCCCCATCTACGATCAATGAACCTCTCCCCCCGCCCCCATCTCCCGATCAATGAACCACATATTGAGAGTCACCCCTTAAGTCTCACCCCATATTGAAAGACACCCCATAAGTCTCACCCCAAATTGAAAGACACCCCATAAGTTTCACCCCATATTGAGTCACCCCCCCCTAATGAGAGTCACCCCATAAGTCTCACCCCATATTGAGTCACCCCCTAATGAGAGTCACCCCACAAGTCTCACCCCATATTGAGTCACCACCCCCTAATGAGAGTCACCCCACAAGTCTCACCCCATATTGAGAAACACCCCATAAGTCTCACCCCATATTGAGAAACACCCCCATAAGTCTCACCCCATATTGAGAGAGTCACCCCATAAGTCTCGCCCCATAAGTCTCGCCCCATATTGAGAGTCACCCCATAAGTCTCGCCCCATACTGACAGTCACTCTTCAGCCATAAGAGGCTCGCAGGGCCCCTCATAGTACCCCAGGTAAGGAAATGTTTTGGGGTGTCCTTGGTGACCCCACATTCCCCGGCACCGATCTCGGTTTGAGGTGGAGTCTGGATCGGCACCATCCTGATGTGATAGTCTGCAGTCGGCGCTCATGTTCTGGGCACCAGTCGGAGGTGAAGCCCCCCACAGGACGGGACGGTAACAACTGTGAATGGTGGCGGTGTGAGAGCGCCCCAACAGTAGAGCGATACGACTTGATTGGTGCGTTATCCGGGTCACATGACCAGACTTTGCAGGAAGACGCAGAACACGACCCGCGTCACGTTACTGATGGAGCGCAGGGATAACGCACCTGAGAGCGCAGTACGCCCTTCGAGGAGGACCCCACCCCGGGAACGGGCAGAGCGCCCCTTGTACCCCGGCGGTGGGAATGGCGCACACACACACTGTGGCCCCTCATCACGCCATAACAATCCCAGACTCACTCCATAAACAAGTTTGGAGACAAAAGGCCAGAAGCGGGCTGGAGCCAGCAGGGGCCCCTCCTCCCCTCATTAATATGGGAGCAGAGGGAGGGAGGGGCCCATAGAAAAGCCTCCAGCAGTCCTCCCTCTACAGACACTCAGACATGGAGCTGCTGGGAGTGCTGACTGTACTGCTGCTGAGCTGTGCCTGGCCAGGACGGGCCGACATACACACCGTCTACTGGAACAGCACCAACAAGAGGTGGGAGCAATGCTCTGCAGGGACCGCTAGGGGGGCAATGTTCTGCAGGGACAGGTATGGGGCAATGTTCTGCAGGGACAGGTATGGGGGCAGTGTTCTGCAGGGACAGGTATGGGGCAATGTTCTGCAGGGATAGGTATGGGGCAATGTTCTGCAGGGATAGGTATGGGGCAATGTTCTGCAGGGACAGGTATGGGGCAATGTTCTGCAGGGATAGGTATGGGGCAATGTTCTGCAGGGATAGGTATGGGGCAATGTTCTGCAGGGATAGGTATGGGGCAATGTTCTGCAGGGACAGGTATGGGGCAATGTTCTGCAGGGACAGGTATGGGGCAATGTTCTGCAGGGACAGGTATGGGGCAATGTTCTGCAGGGACAGGTATGGGGGCAGTGTTCTGCAGGGACAGGTATGGGGCAATGTTCTGCAGGGATAGGTATGGGGCAATGTTCTGCAGGGACAGGTATGGGGCAATGTTCTGCAGGGACAGGTATGGGGCAATGGTCTGCAGGGACAGTTATGGGGCAATGTGCTGCAGGGACAGGTATGGGGCAATGTTCTGCAGGGATAGGTATGGGGCAATGTTCTGCAGGGGATAGGTATGGGGCAATGTTCTGCAGGGACAGGTATGGGGCAATGTTCTGCAGGGATAGGTATGGGGCAATGTTCTGCAGGGATAGGTATGGGGCAATGTTCTGCAGGGACAGGTATGGGGCAATGTTCTGCAGGGACAGGTATGGGGCAATGTTCTGCAGGGACAGGTATGGGGCAATGTTCTGCAGGGACAGGTATGGGGCAATGTTCTGCAGGGACAGGTATGGGGCAATGTTCTGCAGGGACAGGTATGGGGCAATGTTCTGCAGGGACAGGTATGGGGGTAACTGTGATGATCTGCAACTTAGTTAATGCTGTTAGTGTGACATTTTGTAATGCTGGGTGCAGTGAAATGCTCTGCAGTGTTGGCTATGCTGGGTACAGTGCAATGCTCTGCAGTGTTGGCTATGCTGGGTACAGTGCAATGCTCTGCAGTGTTTTAGTCCTGTACAGTGCAATGCTCTGCAGTGTTGGTTATGTTGTGTACAGTGAAATGCTCTGCAGTGTTGGCTATGCTGGGTACAGTGCAATGCTCTGCAGTGTTTTAGTCCTGTACAGTGAAAAGCTCTGCAGTGTTGGTTATGTTGGTAACAGTGCAATGGTCTGCATAGTGCAGTGTCCTTGGATTGGGTGCAGTGCAAAACTTGTTGTCCCTCCCCCTCCCCCGCTCCTGTAATGATTTTTCTCTTCATAAAGTTGGGGACATTGCGATGTTCTGCGGGGCCGGCTATGAGTGCGATGTTCTGCGGGGCCGGCTATGAGTGCGATGTTCTGCGGGGCCCGCTATGAGTTCGATGTTCTGCGGGGCCCGCTATGAGTGCGATGTTGTCTGCGGGGCCGGCTATGAGTGCGATGTTCTGCGGGGCCGGCTATGAGTGCGATGTTCTGCAGGAATATATGAGTACAGTGCCCGCTGTCAGTGCGATGGTCTGCAGGAATATACCGGGTACAGTGCCCGCTGTCAGTGCGATGGTCTGCAGGAATATACCGGGTACAGTGCCCGCTGTCAGTGCGATGGTCTGCAGGAATATATGGGTACAGTGCCCGCTGTCAGTGCGATGGTCTGCAGGAATATATGGGTACAGTGCCCGCTGTCAGTGCGATGGTCTGCAGGAATATATGGGTACAGTGCCCGCTGTCAGTGCGATGGTCTGCAGGAATATACCGGGTACAGTACCCGCTGTCAGTGCGATGGTCTGCAGGAACATACCGGGTACAGTGCCCGCTGTCAGTGCGATGGTCTGCAGGAATATATGGGTACAGTGCCTGCTGTCAGTGCGATAGTCTGCAGGAATATACCGGGTACAGTGCCCGCTGTCAGTGCGATGGTCTGCAGGAATATATGGGTACAGTGCCCGCTGTCAGTGCGATGGTCTGCAGGAATATACCGAGTACAGTGCCCGCTGTCAGTGCGATGGTCTGCAGGAATATATGGGTACAGTGCCCGCTGTCAGTGCGATGGTCTGCAGGAATATACCGGGTACAGTGCCCCCCCTGTCAGTGCGATGGTCTGCAGGAATATATGGGTACAGTGCCCGCTGTCAGTGCGATGGTCTGCAGGAATATACCGGGTACAGTGCCTGCTGTCAGTGCGATGGTCTGCAGGAATATATGGGTACAGTGCTCGCTGTCAGTGCGATGGTCTGCAGGAATATATGGGTACAGTGCCCGCTGTCAGTGCGATGGTCTGCAGGAATATACCGGGTACAGTGCCCGCTGTCAGTGCGATGGTCTGCAGGAATATATGGGTACAGTGCTCGCTGTCAGTGCGATGGTCTGCAGGAATATAGGGGTACAGTGCCCGCTGTCAGTGCGATGGTCTGCAGGAATATATGGGTACAGTGCCCGCTGTCAGTGCGATGGTCTGCAGTGCCGGAAGACATCCCCATAGATGACACATCAGTATGCAGAGCATTCCTCCCCCCGGGACTGACTCACTTCCAGGACGGGAAATCTCACTGATGTGTCACTGGGGGCCCCAGACCCCCCCCCCACCTATTACTACAATACCCGTCACTGGGGGCCCCAGACCCCCCCCCACCTATTACTACAATACCCGTCACTGGGGGCCCCAGACCCCCCCCCCCCTATTACTACAATACCCGTCACTGGGGGCCCCAGACCCCCCCCCCCCCATTACTACAATACCCGTCACTGGGGGCCCCAGACCCCCCCCCCCCCACCTATTACTACAATACCCGTCACTGGGGGCCCCAGACCCCCCCCCCCCCCTATTACTACAATACCCGTCACTGGGGGCCCCAGACCCCCCCCCACCTATTACTACAATAATACCCGTCACTGGGGGCCCCAGACCCCCCCCCACCTATTACTACAATACCCGTCACTGGGGGCCCCAGACCCCCCCCACCCACCTATTACTACAATACCCGTCACTGGGGGCCCCAGACCCCCCCCACCTATTACTACAATACCCGTCACTGGGGGCCCCAGAACCCCCCCCCACCTATTACTACAATACCCGTCACTGGGGGCCCCAGACCCCCCCCACCTATTACTACAATACCTGTCACTGGGGGCCCCAGACCCCTCCCACCTATTACTACAAATACCCGTCACTGGGGGCCCCAGACCCCCCCCCCCCACCTATTACTACAATACCTGTCACTGGGGGCCCCAGACCCCCCCCCCCCACTTATTACTACAATACTGTGTCACTGGGGGCCCCAGACCCCCCCCACCTATTACTACAATACTGTGTCACTGGGGGCCCCAGACCCCCCCCACCTATTACTACAATACTGTGTCACTGGGGGCCCCAGACCCCCCCCACCTATCCGTACAGTGTATACAGGCTCCGTACATTGTATACAGGCTCCGTACAGTGTATACAGGCTCCGTACATTATATACAGGCTCCGTACAGTGAGTCTGTGGTGATGACATGTGAGGCGGGAGGTCACACTGGGGGTGTTGGAGTCAAACTTCTGAATAGACTGGGGGGGTGTACACAGGGGGAGGGGGAGGGGAGGGTATTGTCCAGTGTGGGGAAGATATTAGCGGGCGGACAGCTGTGTCTTTCATGGTGGACACCCGTGGGGGGGGGGGGTCAGGGATGGTGGAGGGGGGGTCAGGGATGATGAAGGGGGGGGTCAGGGATGGAGGAGGGGGGGTCAGGGATGGTGAAGGGGGGTCAGGGATGATGGAGGGGGGGGGGGTCAGGGATGGTGGAGGGGGGGTCAGGGATGATGGAGGGGGGGGGGGGGGGGGTCAGGGATGGTGGAGGGGGGGTCAGGGATGATGGAGGGGGGGGGGTCAGGGATGGTGGAGGGGGGGTCAGGGATGATGGAGGGGGGGGGGGGGTCAGGGATGGTGGAGGGGGGGTCAGGGATGATGGAGGGGGGGGGGGGTCAGGGATGGTGGAGGGGGGGGTCAGGGATGATGGAGGGGGGGGGGGTCAGGGATGGTGGAGGGGGGGTCAGGGATGATGGAGGGGGGGGGGGGTCAGGGATGGTGGAGGGGGGGTCAGGGATGATGGAGGGGGGGGGGGGGGTCAGGGATGGTGGAGGGGGGGGGGTGTCAGGGATGATGGAGGGGGGGGGGTCAGGGATGGTGGAGGGGGGGTCAGGGATGGTGGAGATGTCAGTCTATATCCTCCTGTGATGAGCTGCAGATGTGAGAAGTCGGCTGGCAGCAATGAGCTCATAAAACGCCCAATAAACTCCACACACCCAGCCAGGGAGTACACCCAACTCTGCACCACCGCCGGGCCTGGACTCGCTTCCCACACCGTACACAGCCAAGTACACCCAGCTCCGCTCACCTCCATCCCACCATGAGTACACCCAGCTCCGCTCACCTCCATCCCACCATGAGTACACCCAGCTCCGCTCACCTCCATCCCACCATGAGTACACCCAGCTCCGCTCACCTCCATCCCACCATGAGTACACCCAGCTCCGCTCACCTCCATCCCACCATGAGTACACCCAGCTCCGCTCACCTCCATCCCACCATGAGTACACCCAGCTCCGCTCACCTCCATCCCACCATGAGTACACCCAGCTCCGCTCACCTCCATCCCATCCACCATGAGTACACCCAGCTCCGCTCACCTCCATCCCACCATGAGTACACCCAGCTCCGCTCACCTCCATCCCACCATGAGTACACCCAGCTCCGCTCACCACCATCCCACCATCCCACCATGAGTACACCCAGCTCCGCTCACCACCATCCCACCATGAGTACACCCAGCTCCGCTCACCACCATCCCACCATGAGTACACCCAGCTCCGCTCACCACCTCCATCCCACCATGAGTACATTCTCACACTCCGGCTGTACATGGTGTAATAAGGAGGCACTCCAGGCTGTACGCGGCACAGTATGGGGGCACTCCGGCTGTACCAGTGTAATAAGGAGGCACTCCGGCTGTACGCGGTGTA